CAGATACAGCGTGGTTTTTTCCTGTGTGACTAAGTTAAGTGGCTGGCACCTGGGTGTGATTATCCAGCTAGCCCAGCAAGGGGGCTACAATACTCCCACGTGCAGTCACAGTTTGACTTGCCTGTGTGTCTCTGGAGGCATGCTTATCTGCTACGGGAGTTTTCCCAGTCTGTTCTTGCAGGGGAATTTGTGGGTTAATTTTACAGTCTGTCAGTGCTCAAATCACTTGCCCACAGTGTACAGCGGACCTGTTCTACCCCGTGGCCCCCACCAAAAAAGCAAGCCCAAGCTTAAAACACCTTCAGAACACTCACTGAAATGGGTCTGCGCCTATGAAAGCTTCGGGTTGATTCAAATCTGCTAAGTGTATTGATTGTGTGGTAAAGACAGGTCAAGCACGTGTGTACATAAAAATTCCCGTGGTCTCCTCCCCCAGCTAAGTTGATGCCTGCAATGAAAGTGGCTTCCTGCTGTCTCCCACGCTCCACACATCACCTGTGAGCTCCGCGCCACTCATTTCTTATAAACTTGAAAGGTATTTTTGTAGTCCTGGGGTTTAGTAATTTTTTTAATCTGTTTGTGGGCGTTAGAGCTTCCGTGTCTGTCTAATGCCGCAGCCTCACGGGGGTTTGTGGAACGCTACTCCATGTGTGATCTTGCTAGCGTGCTCCTTTTTTTTTTTTTTTTTTTTTTTCCCCCTCTCAATAGCAGTTGTATGTTGTAAACACCAGAGCTGTGGTTGATAAACTTCGTAAGAGGAGATTTGCGTTAGTGTGTTTTATGTTGACTGCTGGCTTGTTAAATACTGACTGGGTGATTTCAAATGTGTCTGTTACACTCTGCATAAATTTGCCTTTGTGTGCACCTATGTATTCCTCAGGGTGTGTGAACTCAAAGCGTACGCTACCTGCTATTGCTGATGTTGTGCCTATATTCATTATATGGTTTTCATCCAGCAACACGGGTTTTATGTTCTGTCCTGGCAGGCTAGTGCATGGACTCGTCCCATGTGCGTATCAGCTCTGCCTTGTCATCTCCCCTCTTTAGGCAAGATACACATTAATTACAGCAGCCTGTAGCTTTTCTGCAGAATAATGAATTGAGGCAAAGCAGGGAGAGGAAGTTGAGGGCTTGCCTTCATCTGAAACCTGGTATTTCGTCGCATGATTATTTTCCTCCACCTCTTTTTCTGCCCAGTGATGAAGATGTCTGGGCACCGTAAGATGTGACTCTTGGCAAAGAAGTGATTAGTACCAGTGGAGGCATCTTTCCTGATTGCTCCTCTAGGAAATTACTCCACATCTCAAAATTACTGAGGGATTATGGGGCAATTGTCCACTACTAGGAGTTTTTGCTTCTTGTTGGGCTGGTCTGAACCAGAGGCAGGGGTCAGTGTGGAATGGGTCCGTGTGTATTTCATTCCTGGTTTCCTGAGAAAGTCTATCTTGCACAGATTTTTACTTTCCCCTTACAAAAATATTCCACAGAGCAGAAATACATGTGAAAAGGGGAGTACACTTGAATTCTCTGGGAATTGTGGGGAATAGCTTCGTGTTTGGACCCATGAAAATCTACTGTTGGGTGCGTGCTTGATGCTTTGGGACCCGCGTTGTGTGACAGCATGCATTTCTCTTCCTCTTATGTGCTCCGAGAAGTCCAAAGCGATACTGTGCTCTGCAGTTTGAGAACTTGTTTATCTGCAGACTGAAAGAAGCAGCTGTGATGGCCCCACACAGATGGTAGTCACAGCCCATGCTGTACATCAGCCAGTCCACACTTGTCCCGCTGTCCCACACAAGCCCAGCTTGTCCCACTGCTGGGCTCTCCCATTGGGTTGTGGCTGGTCACTCCTCATGTTTTCTTAGCAAGGTCTGAGGTTCCCATCAAGTGTGCTTGCTTCTTTTGGGAAAAGAGCTTTCACTTCTGCTTCCCTGTGGGATAGGAAGAGTGGTTCTTTCTTTAGGGCAGCTGGGGCCCTGCCCATCTCAGGAAACAACGGAGTAACGGTTTGAGCAAACTGCATCTTGTTTTCACGTGCTCAGCTATGCCAGCAGCGCTGCCAACGAGACGCTTCCCTGCAACTCCTGCCTGTGCAACACCCTTTCCTGGAGTCAGTACGATGGCATGGCTTGTAGACAGCCTGTCACTCATAGCCTTTACAGCGTGTGATCTTAGGTGTCCTGCCCAAGCAAGTACGTACCATGGGGCAGTTTTTAGGTCAGGCTTGTGTACAAGCAGGCCCGGAGGAAAAATGCTGCCTGAGGTGAATGGGGAGGTATTTGAGGCCCTACAGTTTCCTCAAATGTTTTGTGCATACCTCCAGTTCAGGGGCTACATGAAGTTCACGGAGCAACATACTTGGCCCTCACGAGGGCCAGGTCTTTAGCTTGGGTGTACACGTCGTTATGACTTGTTTGGCCACCCAAACAGATCAGCTGGCCGGCCAGTCGTGAGGTATGTCTCTCTTGGATGGAGTGTACGTACGTGCCAGCTGTAGACCAAGAGCTTTGTGCGTTCTGCTTGTCTGTTCTGCTTCTTAGCCCCCGCTAAACTGGCATTCTTGGAGTCGGTAGGCAGCAGTGTACCTACCTTGCACTTGAAACAAGTATTTGAGGGTTGTGGGAGATGTGGCTGGTGGGGGAGGAAGAAGTATTATAGGAAGATGTAGGTGGGGGAATGTGGAAGTATTCTAGCAAGAGGATGTTTTGGGGTATATTGCAGTAGGAAGAGTGAGGACTAGGGGCGTCTTATGGTAGAAAGTGGGTGGCTACAGCCTGGTGTTGATAAGCAGGGGTCTTTGATAGCCTGTGTACCTGCTTGAGGTTGGTTCTGTGGGTTTGCATCCCACTAAAACAAATTTCTGTCTCGCCCTTGCTTGCCCTAGCTTTCAGAGAGATGCAAGTTGTGCAGTAAACTAATTTATGTCAAGTGTGGGTTGATTAACTTGAACCTCAGGCTACCAGACCTACAGGTCAGAACCCTCCCACAATATGGCATTTTTAACAATAATCCGTCTATCCACCAGGATGAAAGTCTGAGATGAAGCTGGGGCTTTTAAAATTTGACAGCTGCAATGGGGAATGCTTTTTTTAAAGACTGCTGCAGTGAAAGACGAAGAGTATATATCAAACAACCCCAGTAGCATAAACCCTGACAAAAAGGAGTGGTGCTGCATTTGGCTATTCACAAATGGCAAAATGACCCAGAGAAAAGGGAATTGTAATTACTTTTACTCGTGAAGTCAAGATAGTGCAAACAAGGTTACAGCCTGGAGAACTCTGTTCCAATTTCCCAAGGCAAAAGGGAAGACGAAAGCGGGGTGATGCAGGAGTATTAATCTATGCAGAGCTTGCTTCATGTAAGAACTGTCACACTGGATCAGATCTAAGGTCCAACTAGTAGAGCATTCTGAATTTAGCAGTGGGAAGGGGAGAGGCTTGGTGAATGAAGTATTAGAGACAGTGCAAGTCCAGAGTTATTCTTCCTTTGGCATATCCACTCCAGGTTCTGCTGGAAAAATCCCTCTACATCAGGCGATAATCAGTGAGTTTGGAAAGACAAGGTATTCAGCAACTTGAACTTGACACTGTAGTTGCTAATAGCTTAGATAGGTACTTCATATCTGATGGGATGTGGCATCAGGTAGAAATCCTCAGCAGAAGGAAGCAGTTCAGCCATTGTCTTGTCTTCCATCTCTGCTGATCAGCAGAGTCGTGGTAGTTTGCTGCTTTTGTTGCCATTGGGAAAGGCTGAGGTAGCAGATATTCTAGAAACTTGCTGCTTTTATTGTTAATGAGCAAAGACGAGGCAAGCTTGTTTTGTGTTATTCAAACTTGTAAACCTTGCCTCCTCCCCCTTTTACTTCCCTCCCTCTTAAGGCACATGGGTGGTTTTGTGGTCTCTGTATCCGGCCTTTGTGTGATACAGCATGTGCGCTGAGGAAGCAGGACAGATAAAACATAGCTCATATTTCTGGGAATCCTTACCTCACTGCTGATGGGGAAGTGTTGTGCTCCCAGGCACTGGCAGATAAGATGCTGGGCTTCTTGTCATACTGAAGCATAGGGCTGGCTCACAAGAAGCTGCCAGCAGGACTTCATGATTTGGGAGACCCAAATCTTCAGCAGCATGTTGCTCAGTTTCTTTCTAAGTTTGTACGCTGTCTGACAGCTGCAAAGCCATGTTTTACGTGGTGAATGAGCAAATTTTGTACTGGTTTCATGGGCTGAGGGTAAGTGACATTGTTAGAGTTGCTCAGGGCACGTGCAGGGCTGAATTTAGAACCAGCAAAGAGTCAGGCTGGCAGGAGGCTGAAGCCTTGGTTTCCACAGCAGCTACGAGCCATGGCTATCGTGAGCACCCTCCATGCTGTACTACTGGCATGTTTCTCTGCTGACCTGGTGGAAAAACTCTCTGGTAAGTGAGAGGGAATTTAGGCGAGCTGGTTTCTCTGCTGAGATGGTTGAAGGGAGTTAGAGCCACTTACCTGTCTCTTGCTAGGAGCTAACGCTAATAGCTCCAAGCTCTTCCTGCACGTGGGGACACCACGCTCTGCTGCCTGTCATCTGTGGAGGAAACTGGAGTTTTGTACTGCTGCAGTGTTTTGCTTGTGGGCAAATGGATGGAGCGTGAGGGTTTCTCTGACCTTGTTATTACATGTCTTTAAGAAAGAAACCGTACAATGGGCTTCTGCTGAATGCCTTTTGTTTTAGCTGTTCATGCGTGCGCTTATCCTGTGTTTGAAAACAACAGTTTGTACCTGATAGCATTCAGATTCTTTTTCTCTTATTTGCATTCTTTGGATGTACTGAGAATAAACTGTAGAGCCCTGCCAAGTGAAAGGATGCAGATGGAATTAACAAACCTATTTTGATTGCCTCAGCCTTAGATTTCATTTTTTCTGTACTTGTAGAGGGGGGGATATACAGTGGAGTATTATTTATTTGTGTGTATAAAAATGCGCACATACTCAGAACCACCAACACCTCTTTCTCCCTCTTGCAGACTGGAACTGAGCTCTGGAAAAACAAAGTGGAGCTTGGAGCATGTGGCCTGAGGATTGCCTTACAAAGCCAGGGGTAGGGACTCATTGTTTCTGTTGGCTGCTTGGTCGTAAATGAGCAATCGGGACAAGTGCCTTCATTCTCAAGTGAAGATAATTCTTTAATTTCTTTGTTAAATACAGATGTAGATGTTAATCCCAGTCTAGAAAAGATTAAGAAAGGGTTGCATTGAAATAGAAGCAATTTCTGTAGCAAGAACGCCTCTGTGGCTTAAAGGCACTGGACTGGAAATTTGACGAAGGTGCATATTTTCCTGAGCTATGAGGATATGCTAACCTTCCTTTCTTTGGGTCCCTTTGCACATTAACTTCCTACAGAGCCCAGCACAGATCTCAGGAGATATTATGTAGTCAACAGCAACAGACTTTTTTCCCTTTTCTTGCAGGTGGTAGCTAAGAAGTGAGCAGGATGCCCCCAGGCATTTACTGCCCTATGGAATTCTGGTCCAAGGGGGAAAACCAAAACATCCAGGTGGACTTTCTGCTGCCCACAGGCATATACTTAAACCTCTCTGTGTCCTGCAATGCCAGCTTGGGCACCATCAAGCAGGTAACAGCCTTGATCCACAGTCTTATCTGCAATTCCTGGAACAAGGAGTCTGTTGGGGAGCACCTGGGGAAATGTGTTGGGTCTTAACTCAGTGCAAGTTGGGTTTCTTCTGCATTGCTTTGAGGCAGTTCCTTGTGACTCACTACGAGAGCCCCTCCTTTGTGACAGCCTCTGCAACCCACTAAACCCACGTCTAGCCGCTGAGTCTGCCAGCAACAGGGTGCTGGTGGTGGTGCCAGTGGTGTCCGGCTCGATTCTCTGGGTACTTGTCCAACCTTGGGATGAGAATTAGAGTAATTATGGAGTGAGGGCAGACTTCAGCTGGCCACGCAGGGCTCATGGACTGTGTGTTCAATTACTGCTCACCTGACCCAACCAGTCCCCATGGATTTTTCATTATGAAAGCTCTTGTGTGTGCATATGCAAGTACGAGAAGTCACCCCAAATAGTCAAATAGACATGCTGGACTGATTCAGAGTATTCAGGCTGCCAGCCCAGCCTTCTCTTGCCTCACTGAAAATTAGGAATGGGAACGATAGAAAGGATTTTTCTTAGTGCTTCATTTGAGGAATAAAATGCTGTAGTGAAACAACGTGTAAATGAAATGTAGCTGCTTCCTTGTTTCCCTGGGTAGGAAGCAGGGGTAGGGGAGAGTGAAGGAAAAGAGTGGAAAAGGTTTTCTCTGCAGCAGCAACCTGACCTAGGTGAGTCACAAGGGACAGAAGCACAAGTTTTCTCACGCTGCAATTTTCAGGTAAAAAAAAACCCCAAACCCAACCAAAAAAACCTGTAAGTAGAGCTGATTGGTTCCAGCTGTAAGGTTACAAGTCTGAGTTTTACAGCCAGCAGGCATGCTGGGTCAGACCAGAGGCCCATCTACTGCGGAGTTTTGTCTCCTATAGCAGGCGCTTAGGATGAGAGTGAAGAAATGGAATACCAACAGTCATGTGGAAGTGCCATCCACTGGGAGCAAAGGATCTCTGGGAACTGGATAGTGTTGAGAAGACTTCAGAAAAGTTCTTGGCTCTTGTCACAGATTTCATGTTACTGGGGGCAAGTTATTTATCCCAATTTTGCTTCCAGTGGGAGTAATACCTCTATTTCACAAGGCTAGCAGTCAGCAGGTACTTACTGTGAGGTGTCCAGGTGGGGGTTATTTAAATACTCAGGTTGAGGGATTTACTTTGCCTGAAACAAATGGCAAGCATGAAAAAAGGAAGTCAGTTAAAGGCACTTGCAAATAAATCTACCCAGCAGTTCAGCATGAGTTGAAGCCACCAGACTGGGCTGAAAAGCAGCCTGTGATTGCAGGTCCAGGAATGCTGTGAGAAGGTTTGGCTGTGCATTCCCTTTGCTAAATGGCGTATCTCGGGGGAGTGAGGTTGTGGGGTGACAGTAAGAGGAAGACGAGGTTCTGGCAGCGCAGTGGTGGTTTCACCCTGCTGTTGGTCTGGCCCAGGTGGTGTGGAAGCATGCTCAGTATGAGCCGCTGTACCATATGCTCAGCGATCCCGAGGCCTATGTCTTCACGTGCATCAACCAGACAGCAGAACAGCAAGAGTTGGAGGACGAGCAACGGCGGCTTTGTGACATCCAGCCCTTCCTACCAGTACTGCGGCTCGTGGCTCGAGAAGGCGACAGAGTCAAGAAGGTTATTAACTCCCAGATCAGCCTGCTCATTGGGAAAGGTCAGTTCCCCCATCACTGGTCTCGCCAGGAGTGTGGCAGGGGTGTTGGCTGTAGGTGAAACATGCTTCTGTCCCAGACAGCCTTGCTACGTATGGAATAGTAGTATGCAGGAGATGAAATTAGCAGGTTTGGTCTCTGGTGGATCTGGCAAGGGAACAGTGTGTGTGCAGACCCAAGAAGGGTGATCTTTCCTGCTGGCAGAGGGCTATAGTAATGGAGTCGGTGCAATTGTACGTAGTAAATAAGCGATTATTAGTAGCTTGGCTGACTCTTCTCCTTTTGGCCAAATATTAAGCATGTGTTTAGGAAGACGGTTTCACAGACACTTGATTTGTCAAAGGCTGACTTCCCCCATTGGGTGCCGATGCTTATTTTGTCTTTCTCTCTTACTCTCCACTTAGGTTTGCATGAGTTCGACTCTGTGCAGGATCCAGAGGTGAATGATTTCCGCACCAAAATGTGCCAGTTCTGTGAGGAGAGAGCAGCAAAGCGGCAGCAGCTCAGCTGGGCAGCTTGGATGGAGTACAACTTTCCCTTGCAGCTGGAGCCCATGGCCAAAGGCCTTGGGACTGGCCCTCTACATACCCCCACCAAGAACATTTTTGTCAACGTCAAGTTTCAGTCTGGCGGGGTAAAGCACAAACTTTTCTGTGACAATGTTTAACTGGTTTGTGCTTTCCCTTTGGGAACCTTTGGGCGTTTGGAGACAGAATAATGCGTGCGTGGACAGTGTTTCCATGTGTTCAGTGTTCATCTTCATTCTCCAGATTCCTTTGCCTGTGGAGATGGTTGGGAGGGAGACTCTGAGCCTCCAACCAAGGGAGCTGTTCCCCTTCCTGAACATGCGTTAGGTGTACTGGTTAGCTGGTAGCTGAGGTTGCTGCATGCACACGTGGTGGAAAGCTTTTTGGTTTGGGATAGGAGAGGAACACAGAACCCAATATATGCCTTTCCTTTTGAAGCCCAAGAGTCTGCTCAGCTCATGCTCAGCATACACTGCTTGCAGGCGTCGGTCTGTGTTGCCCATGGGCCCCTGTTCTTGCCTGCTACCCTTGCTTAATGTTATTTTTGCATGTTGTGCCTGGGCATGAAGCAGGAGCCACCCCCATGGGAGAAGGGCCTTCCAGAATAGCGTGTTTGAGCACAGTGACCCTAGCCACCCTCTGCCTTGCTGGTGCAATGACAGTGGGAAGATTTTTAACAACTAGCAACCACATGAACTGGTGATTCTGCTTAAACTGGACTTGAAGTTCCCGATTTCCAGCCTTGCACTTGCGCTGCTGAAACATGCTCCTGCCCAGTTTGGCAAACATCCCTACTTATTTGCTAATGTGTGTGTGGGGGTAATTCTGCCTTCCTATCCTTCTTATTGTCAGCAACAGGAATGTTGTTACCTATCCGCTGAGCTACTGCTGCTCCTTGTGCTGATTTCGGCCCTTTGCTGGTATTTGACAGTGTATGCTGTGTTGTTGGGATTGCAGGAGAGCTTCACTTTCCAGATCTCCCCAAAGGAGTTCCCCATCACATTGATGAGCTATGCTATCAAGAAGCAGGCTACTGTCTTCCGCCATGAGACAGTGGAGAACCCGGAGGACTACACCCTGCAGGTGAATGGGAAATGTGAATACCTCTATGGGAACTACCCCCTGTACCAGTTCCAGGTGAGCCTTTTGTCTTGCTTTATCAATGAGTCTGTTCCCATATGGCGTCCTCTTGCTGGGAGGGTGGATGGAGCCGTGTTATCCTCCGTCAAGGAGGCAGTGCTTTTTACAGGAATGCAACACATCAGTGGCAGGACCTGGATGCTACTTAGGGCAAGGGATAGTTCTAGCAACCTAACAGATCCTTACGGTTTTGGAGGCTGGTGATCTAAGCCCATCCCTGGGTACCAAGTGCTGTGTAAATACATTTATAGATTATGGTTCTGGAAATGTCTGTTTGCTTGCATGGTGGGCTGGGGGTTCTCTTCCTGAAAATTGGGCAGGTAATCCTGTATCCTGTGTTCCCCTGGCAGGGCAAACTGCTGTTGGGAGTGCTGAATCCTTCTCAGTGTTTTCCCTTAATGCAGCCATTTGAGTCAGTTGATGAAATGCCAGCTATAAAAGGCACTTCATATTCTCAGTTCTGGCAACATGAGTCCAGTGAGTTGCAGGTTTATAAAGCAAGAGAAGATAAATTAAAACTGAATTCTGATTGTTGCTGTGTCCTTTCCTTACTCCTTCCGCCTGTTTCTGCTTCAGCCAGTTCTCATTTGCTTGACTGCTCTTGCCTGCCTGGCTCCGTTTCATCCATGCTGACTCTGTCCTCTCTTTGCAGTATATTCGCAGCTGCCTGCACCGAGGCCTAACGCCCCACCTCACCATGGTACACTCCTCCACTATCATTGCTATGAGAGATGAGCAAACCAACTGTATTGCCAGCCCCCCAAAGATGGCTGCCAAGCCTCCCCCGCTCCCTAAGAAAAAGGTAAAAGGGGATAGTGACCCAGCGGGGTCACCCTCAACTCGTCCATTGATGGAGATGCCGATCTTGTCTGGGAACAGCAGCTGGTTCTCCCTGCCTCTCTCAAGACAGGTTCCTAGCCAGGGTCTAAGAGCTGGGAATTTCCAGGCAGCCTTCCAGCTCCCTCCACAACTTCCCTGGTTGTCACAGACTTCATGCTGCCCACCTGTGATGCAATGCTCTTTTCTGTTGGAGCAAAAAGCATGCAATGAGGGATGAGGTCTGGCACTGGCTTGAGAAGTCTTTGTTGCGTCTAGTTCTGATCGGAACCCTTTTCTCTTTCTAGCCAAACTATGGTTCTCTCTGGTCCTTAGAGCAGTCTTTCTACATTGAGCTGGTGCAAGGCAGCAAGGTCAACGCAGATGAGAGAATGAAGGTAGGTACTGACTCAGTTTGGGGTTTTGGTTTTGTGTTTTGGCTTTCCCAGTAGCATCTGTCTCGTTTGTGTGGTGAGGAAAGCAGGGGCCGACAGCTTGATCTCACGTGATCCTCCATTATGCTTCATTCAGCCTTTGGGCAGTTTCTAAACTGCAGCATAACAGGAAGGGGATGGGAACTTGCTAGCCAGCAGCCCAGCAACGGAGCAATGCATTCTTAGAAGCACCCCCTGCAAAAGTTTCTGAGTAGCAAACAGAGCTGCTGCCCTGTGGTGATACAGCTTGACAGCGGCGTGGAGGGGCAGGGAAGTCTGCAAAAAGCAGAGGAGGGGAAATTCAGCTCTGAGAAGAGAGAATGATGGGAGAGGTGGTTTAAGACAGAAAGCATGGTGCAGCAATGCCCTGGGATTTGCAAGGTGTTTGCCATGAAGGGGCAGCGGCCGAATGAGGAGAAGGGGAACGGCTGCCCTTTGGGAAAGGAAGAAAACAGGGCAAGAGTATATCACATATAAAGGTGTTCTGCAGGGCAAGGCTTTATAAAGAAACAGGCAATGAAATAGTTATTTCTTCTGCCCAGTGCCCCATCACTTGCAGGGAGCTCCTCCTGGGGAGGACTCCTGTGATTCAGACTAGCCAGCAATACTGTAACGAGAGGTCAAGCTGGGGATGAGCTTGGCTTATCAGCTGTAAAGCGATCTGGCAGACTGCAAGAGCAGTGCAGATTTGCAGGTAAATGTGCACCCGGAGACAGCTCGCCATTGGCACTGCACTGCAGGCCTATTTTGGGGCTCAGCTGTTTGCACGTGCCCTTCTCCTGTGATGTGGATTTGCCTCCTCTTTGGGATAAGCACTTGCCCAGCTCTTGGCGTCTGCCCTGCTTTTTCAGCGTGACAGGTTCCTGAGCTTCTGCAGCATCTCGGTGGGCAGGGTTTGGTGAATATTGATATTGCCTGGCTTTACAGGATGAAACCTGTAATGCTCTTACCAATGGATTACCCAAGCATTTTGCAATGATTAAGCAGCTCTTGCAAGCCCGCATGAAGTAAAAAGATAACAGTGCCCTTACTGAAATTGAGTAAAGAGGAAGATTAAGGAACTTAATGTCTCAGTGAATCGGGAAAGAGACAGGAGTAGGGCATCCTGTTCAGGGGAGTGGATGCCCTGTCCCATTCCTCTTCTAATCATGTGTCTTCAGCAAACAGGTCAAGTCCCTGTGGATTCACGGTATTCTCTTATTTCTCCTTCCCTCAGCTGGTGGTGCAGGCAGGTCTCTTTCATGGCAATGAGATGCTGTGCAAGACAGTGTCAAGCTCTGAAGTGAATGTATGCTCAGAGCCAGTGTGGAAGCAGAGGCTGGATTTTGATATTAACATCTGTGATCTTCCCCGTATGGCACGGCTTTGCTTTGCCCTCTATGCTGTCATCGAGAAGGCGAAGAAGGCACGTTCCACCAAGAAGAAGTCCAAGAAAGCTGTAAGTAAAGCCAGTGTGGGGCTGAGCCAGGCTTGCCGGTGCTGGGGGGCACAGGACACCATTCTGAACCAAATGCCCTTTGCTTTCAGAAGACAACTTTATTAATAAAAGAGCTTACAGAATGATGGCCAGTAACTTCTTCAACAGGAACAGGAAACTGAGGCGTGGCTGCCTGTAGGAAAGGTTTTTTAAATGTAATTTCTTGTCCAGAAAGACCATTAAGAAACATACCCAGCATCTGAATGCACATAAGGAGGAATCATTTGTGTTAGTGTCACTGTTTTGCTGTTCCGCAACTTCCTTGTTTTGTAGTTGAGGTTAAACCATCTTCTATGTTGCATCTTCTTTCTAGTAAGGTCTTTCATGCAAATCCCCCATGGAGCAAATTAACAGCTAAGGAAGGGGAAGAAAATGAGGAATGTAAACACTGGTTACAGCAAAGCTTTAGGTGAGGTAAATGAAAGTGCAGAATCTTCAAGGTTACTGTTCAGATGCCGCAAACTGAGGATGGAAAGTGTTAAATCACTTTGGAAGCTTTTGTTTTGAGCTTCTGAATCTCAGAAATGTAGTGATATTTCTCACTTTCCTCACCACTATTCCAAAACTTCTAGCCCATTAATAATTCAGCAACTAAAAGTAGATCTAAGTGCAGTCTGTAATTGAATTGCTAGTTTCCCAGTGTTGTAACTTAAGCACGATGCCTCTAGCTCTTTGCATATGGTTTTCTTTATGAGCAACAAATGCATTTGTTCCTCTGCAAATTATCGTTTCTGCAGCCATAAAAACACCGTTACCATGCTTTAAAGAGGGGATTAGTCGTGCCATCTTTACTAGAGTGCAGAGAAATGAGGGACTGATAAATGTGATCACAGACGATTTTAGTCTCAGTCCTGCTAGCTCCTTGTCACTGCTGGGAGGTTCACTGAGCTTTGTTGTGTTGACATCAATAGGGTTCTCAGGGTTACAGTCCATTAATGTCTGGGGAGCAACAGGCAACCCACGAGTCCTGCTTGTGTGGACCAATTTCTGGGTTGGAGACTTCAGACTGGAAACATTTTGAGGCCAGGACCAGGATCAACCTTTTTATTGTTGGCTTTTTACTTAAAAATAGCCAAACTCCAACTCCTGCTGGAGGTTTTTGTTGAACAGAATATCTGATTCATCCACAGGCCGCATTTTTGTGGTCACACTGGAACAATTTTCAGTTTTGAAGCAGTCAGAAGGAAATCTTGCTATTCTGATTGACAAAACAAAACCAGCCCGGTTAGCTGAGCTGTTAAGAGGATCTTGTTCATAGGTACTGGGGAAAGGTTGGATGCATTCTGGTGAGCTCTTAACATAAAATCACAGTATTTGCTGGATCTGAGCTCTGCAGAAATGGATTTTTCCACATGGTTGGCTGCAGCTCTGAGTAAGGTGCCCAGATCTGATTTAAAATAATTGGTAAGAGGAGGTTACAGTCAGAGTGCACCCTGGTTTTTGGTTTTGATTAATAATCTTTTTGCTTGCTTTGCTTACAGTACTCGGAGTTTAATTACATGCATGTTGTTTGTCTATGTAGACTGTCCAGAGCAGATAGGTGGGACTAAATAATTTACTACCACAAAAACAGGCATGCTTGCAGACTGACTGGGATGAGTCAGAGGGTTAATGTCACCCAGAGGGTTGGCTTTCAGTGTTTCTGTAAGTCATGCAGGAGATATTTCTGTCCTTACAATGCTGAATCGTTGCTTTGCTGGACCTTATCCACCAAAAAGCTTGCCTTGCGTTTTGGCAGGCTCTGCGCTGTGGTTTGATGTCATTTACTCTGTTAGAAAAGGTTATTGCTGGTGGTGGTGTTTTGTTTGGCTTTTTCCTATGATCTAGAAGCTGATGTCTCAAATGGGATTTTATTGAAGATACTTAGTCTAATCAAATCACAACTCAAAGGTTTGTGAGAGGCCGCTTGGAAGCGATTCATTTTGTCGCATTAGGGGGAAATGCTGACTTTGCTACCTCCACCAAGTCCTTTGGTGTACGTTCGGGGTAAGCCCGATACATTCTCTAGAATGTCTCAGTGGAACAAGAAGATGTCTCACTGTGGTTCTCTTCAAATATTACACTGTTTGTGGGTGCGTCTCACTGGAATTTTGCCTCGCAACCTCTTTGCAAGTCAGTTTCTTAAGCGTTTGCTTAAGCCTTGGTGTTTTCTGAGCAGCTGAGTGAAATGCTGGTGTTGCTGAAACTGTTACATGAAGTAAACTGTTCCATTTGGGCAGCCTGACTGCAGGAAATCTTAGGTCACTTGTGGAATGTCTGTCTGCTCTGGTGGCGGGGAACTGGGTTAGAGCAGGGAGACGGGTTCTCCTTCTTGGCCACGTCCCAGTCGCTTTACTTGCTGGAGTCTCCCACCTCCAAAATGAGCCTGGCTTGTGTGACTGGGTTGGGCTTGTGGTTTTTATTTTGGGGGGTGTGAGGGGGGGATTGGCAGCGTAAAGTTTGATTTCTAGAGATAGTGTTTATTATTGTACAAAGGAGCCAAGCCTTTTCTTCCCATTATCAGATATATCTAGCATTCTTTGCCTCGTTTTCTGAAGTCACGCTAACTCTGTGTTCGCTGTTTCAAAATTAAGGTTCTTCTCCCTCCCTTCAAACTGTGAAATAGATGAAGTATATATGTCATAGCTCCTTCAAATATCAAGTGTAGAGTTGCAAGGCCTTACTGGAAACTTAGAGATTCTTCAGCTATGCAAAATATTGGGTGATGAAGTTTTTAGACGTATTTGTGGGGGAGCGTTTGGTGCCATTCAGCACTACACAAAAGACCCCAGGTTTTGGCAAATATCTGAATTTGATGCCATCTTGTACTCTGATTTTAGAACTTAAAAGGTAAGCAGGCAGGCATGGCTACCTGGGGTGGTATATTCTTTACAGCAGCTCTTTGGTGATGGGGTGCCTGCGTACTCTTGAATAGGAAGTTACCTGCCTGTAGCATTCTGTGTAGCAATTTGCAGACTTGGAAAAGATCAAGATTACGTAACTTCTTATTCCTGGCTATTGTGAGGGGTTTGCTTTGCATGGGGATATCTCACTTCTTCTCTTACCTTCATCCAGCTTTTGCAGTTACGGCACCCAAATGAGCTTCTTTCTTTGCTTTGCAGGACTGCCCAATTGCCTGGGTGAATGTCATGCTCTTTGACTATAAGGACCAGCTGAAAACAGGGGAGTGCTGCTTGCACATGTGGTCCTCCTTTCCAGGTATGTCCAGAGGCAGAGCTACTGTATTGTTCTGTGTCTTTAGCCTCCACCGCAATGACAGGAGGTGCCCTGCACCCTGCACTGCTGTCCACGAGGTTGTAGGAGGGGCCATAACAGTTCAGACTAGCAGACCCAGTACGATTACTGGTCTATATTGTGATGGCAGCTAGAGCCCTGCCAAGATGAAGGCCTTGTTTTGCTTGGCATTGCACGTATGATGTAAGAGGTTGCTGCTGTCCTAAAGATGTCACGTATGCTTTGCTTGTGAGAGGTCAGGAAAATGAAGTGAGCTGCTAGGGCCAGGCAATGTCCGGTGAAAGAGCTGGAAGCAGTCTGTGCTCTGCTTTCTGGACCAAAGCTTCAGAAGATTAGGGTTCATGGGTTTATGTACTTTGCTTTTCAGATGAGAAAGGGGAACTTCTAAACCCCATGGGCACGGTACAATGCAACCCCAACACAGAAAGTGCAGCAGCCTTGGTCATCTGCTTCCCCAGCGTTGCATCGCATCCTGTGTATTACCCGTCATTTGAGCAGGTAGGGGACACGGACGCTTTTTTGGGGAGGCACAGAAATTCCCTGGCTTTGCTGGTGCAGGAGCATACAGCGTCACTGTCTCTTGGGCAGCTGTCGACAGGGACTGGGTACAAGCAAACTTGATGAATAAGATATTAACTGAAAATTTGACTTTTTCTCTTAACTAATGCACCTTTGAGTGAATACTTTTCCAAGCTGTGAATTCTTGTGAATTACTGAAGTAAAGCTGCTCTCATAGATGAGCATTTGTTTAAAAAATGGGTTTAACTGAGCCGCCTTTAAACTGCAGGCAGCATTAGGCTCTATAGGAAGGAAGAGGAGTAAAAGGGGAAATGAGTGAAAGTAGACAGCTCCCTCCCTTTCAGCGCAGAGTGATAACATGCCGTGTGGTCTGGGGATTTTCCATCTGTCACTGCAACTGGCCAAACACTTAAAGTGGAAGAAGAAATGTGCCTGTTACAGGAAGGAAAGGAGATCTGCCCTGCCAGGGACATATCCACATGCTCCCCCGTGGTGCGTGCTCTGGCTCAGAAGCTTTAGCGGATTGTGCCAGTGTGCAAGGTGGCTTGGGCAGCGCTGTCTGCTTGGCAAACGCACGCCAGTTCTAAGAATCTGGAATGGCTCGTGTTAGCCTGGAGCTCGGTGACGCAGGGCCCCCGTTCACGAACTGTGTGGGTGTGCAGATGTGCCCTTTTGCGGGGAAGGACTCCTCCCTTCATTCTTGTTACTACCAGGGAAGGGGCTCTGTGGGCAGTTTAGGTTACACCTCTGAGCAGAGGGGTCCTGCTGAGCACATTACCCACACTTGGGCTGTGAGAGGTGTGATTCCCCTCTCCAGAGGCGGCAAGTGACTGACATCTAATGCAGCATAAATGCCTGAAGTGATGGTGAGCTAGAAGTACAGAGGAAATGAGGAGCCTTTCTCAGACTCTTTTATTTCTGTCCCAGCTGCTGGAGTTGGGGAGGAATGGAGAACAACCCCGCGCTGCACCAGAAGATCCTGAGGAGGTGAGTCTTCTGGCATCAGTTTTTCAGCTATGTGCAAGCCTGGTTTCGTAGATCAAGGTATATGTTTCCACCTTACCCCCAACCAGCTTTTTTCACCAAACTGGGTCATGCCACAGTCCTACAGGGTCTCTCTGGGCTGAGCAAGTCCCCCGGGTTGAGACTGAGCCCTGTGTATGCTCTTTCCTGTGATTCCCATGAGCAGAAGCTGCAACTGAAGGAGATACTGGAGCGGAGGAGCCACACTGAACTATATGAGCATGAGAAAGACCTGGTGTGGAAGATGAGATACGATATCCGTGACCAGTACCCGCAAGCTTTGGCAAAGCTGCTTATCATCACCAAATGGAACAAGCATGAAGACGTTGCCCAGGTGAGGATGTTGGGGTTGGCAGCCGAGGCTCTCTTTTTGATCCGTCTTTCAGTGTCTACATTCCTGTGTTGTGTTTGGGAGGCCAGCTTGGCAGGGGATGTTTCACAGTGCCCCTGTGCAGGTAGGTTTGGCATCAATGAGGCTGAGGAAGATTTTCTGTTCTCAACCAGTCACTGCGAACATATGCCGAGTGGTACCCAGGTGAGTTGAGGGTTTGGCTCTTCTGGGCTCCGTTTGGTTCTGTGCGCTGTCCCAGACTCATTACTGACCAACAAGGTCTTGCTTATTCCCTCTAGAAACAGGAGGCAAGAAAAAATCTGTTTAATTCACGGCAGAAATAGGATCTCGATTGGATATTCTTAACTGATAGTGAGAGACCAGCACAAGCTACCTCAGGGCATCAGTGAATCTCTTCCACTGAGAACGTCAGACATCAGTTAGGGATGGTCTCTGTGCTGCTCATCCCTACTTACTTCAAGAGTTTTGATGACCTTCTAAAAGGTCCCTTTCTAGTCTACGTTATTAGGCTGCAGAGAAGTGCTTTTCCCAAAGAGCTTATTCCACTAATTGTGGTACGGCAAATGTAACCCTGCCGTGGACTTGGATGGTTCCTCCTGTCAGCCTTCCTAGAAAGTTTAGACTGATGGTTTTTGACCTGGTGTCTGCAAACTTGCTCTGAGGCATCTATAAATAGTGACTAAGATAGAGGGTACCCCCCACAAAGGAGCTGCTCCTCCATCGGTAGAATGTTAGATTTTTATCCATTGTTGTAAAAATCTTGTTCCTTTTTTTGCTATTTTTTTTTCCTGCCCTTACAGATGATTTCCCTGCTTCAGACCTGGCCAGAATTGCCTGTCCTGAATGCCTTGGAGCTGCTGGATTTTAGCTTTCCTGACCGTTATGTTGGTTCCTTTGCTATCAACTCATTAAAGAAGCTGACGTAAGTGTTTGCAAGGGATACGCGGAGCCCCTTTCTAGTTATGTTTAGGGCTGCTGAGGGGGACTGTGAACAAGGCTGACGGTCTGGTCTTTATGGATTTTGCAAGTACGCTTGTTGCAGTAAAGATAAGGTTTTCCTTTCTGTCCGCAGAGATCATGAATTGTTCCAATACCTGCTACAGCTTGTCCAGGTGCTTAAGTATGAATCCTACTTAGACTGTGAATTAACCAAGTTCCTGCTGGACAGGGCGTTATCCAATCGCAAGATCGGCCACTTCCTCTTCTGGCATCTGAGGTAAAGAGCAAATGTTTTAGGCTTTTTCTCAGTAATCAAGTGAAACCGGCATTTACTGGTTTCCTCGTTGCTCTGCGAAGTGAGACGGCAAGCGTGTCTGTATGTATAGATGGCAGGGTATTTATTTGAAGGCTACTGGCTGTCCTTTAACTAGTGTCTTTCATCAAAGCGTTGGTGGGATTTCCTCGCTGTGATTACCAAAACCCAGGAGCTGCTGCTTTTTACTTGGGAGACTGAATAGGTATTATTCCAGGAGGACACAAAATCTTTGTTTGTTATTTTTTTCTTTTGTTGCTGTGGTGGTGTTTGGATTAGGTTCTGTTTTCAGAATTTATATACGTACACATGCCTGTGAGTTGAAATTTATTTGGACGGCCACGGCCACCTGCCAGTTCTGTGCCATGGGCTCTGAACTGTCCTTGCTCCTTAAGTAATGTTCTCAAAGGAGTGGTTACCAATTTAGTCACCCAGGAAGATGTCTCATCACTTCAAGCAATGGGTTTTCCACATCACCTTCTGGGGTGGGTTCATTTTTTTTTTCCCTCCCCAGTACATAGAAAGAATCTAAACAGCAGCTAATATTCTGCACCCTCCTATCCCCGCCCCGCCCCCCCTTGTACTGGCATGAATGGGAGAATTAGTCACTCGCTGCAGTGAGTCAGAATTGCTTTAACCTCCCTTCTTCCCCTAGGTCAGAAATGCATGTTCCTGCAGTTGCCTTGAGGTTTGGCCTGATCCTGGAAGCATACTGCAGAGGCAGCACCCACCATATGAAAGTTTTGATGAAACAGGTAAAAAATTGCTTTTAGCCATAAGGCTGACTTCCCTCTTGCTTGGAGCTGGTTCTCAGCTGGTAGCTTTTCCAACTTAATGTTATCAGTAATGCAAAAAAAAGCCTTTCAACTGCTGTATTGGTTTTGGCATATCCTATTAAGAGCCTGGAGTTCCCCATCACATGTGACTTTGCTCATCGCTTACTCACCCACACATGTCCCAAACTACACTATGTGTCTAGAGTGGTTTGAAATGTTCAAAGACCACTGCTGTTACTAGATGAGTTGAATGAGTTACCGTGTAGTAGGAGCTGATCACAATTGGCTGTCTGATTCGGAGCAGTGCACTCTTTCCTTCAGTTGCTGTGTGGAGGTAATCCTGCTATTTACCCACTCTCTAAAACTTCTCTATTATCTGTCAAGGATCACTGTACCTAATGCAGAAGTGAGGGACTCATGTTATACAGCAAGTCGTATCTAAGATGTGCCCACAAACCAGTGCTGCTTCTCTTTTCAAGACTGAGTGGCACTTTTGCATAACCAGAACTCCCCAAAAGCATTGAAGGGCAGGGGCTATAGGTCTCCTCCTCCCTTTTCTAGCCAGTGCACCTCACTTCCTCCTTCAGTGCTTGATAATGTGCGTTATTCCTGGTATTTAGGACTGCAGTCATTACCTTGCAATGCATTTGTGCCCAGCAGAATATCCATAATTGATTATGGATCTCCCTCAAGCAGATACTACTAAATTTGTTTTGTTGCAATGTGTGAAATTGCCACATGTTGGAGAGAAGGTACGAGATACAACCAAGGTTCACATTTCACAGTAGATTTTTTAATAGTTCTTAAACTTTCTCCAGGAATTTCCTATTTGTTAACCGTGTTCCATCCCTCCCTTTTTTCAGGGAGAAGCACTCAATAAGATGAAAGCTCTGAATGACTTTGTTAAAGTGAGTTCTCAGAAGGCCACCAAGCCTCAAACCAAGGAGATGATGCATGTGTGCATGAAGCAGGAAACTTATCTTGAAGCACTTTCCCACCTCCAGTCCCCCCTGAACCCCAACATTATCCTCGCTGAAGTTTGGTAAGGAAGATAGCTGCGTTTCTCAATTAGTGCCGCAGGCTTTGTTCAGCAGTAGAGCCAGGCTTCTGGTTACCCCAAGGTCCTCTTTTCTCAGGGAAGTCACAGTCAGTATGTTAGCGTTTGTGGATGCTGTTGAATTGGCAGCTTTCGTGCCCACTTTTTTAATAGATGATGGAAGCTCTGATGGTAATATTTTTGTTTCCTCTAGTGTGGATCAATGCACCTTTATGGACTCCAAAATGAAACCTTTATGGATTGTGTTTAATAATGAAGAGAGAGGTGGAGGTGGAGTGGGTATTATTTTTAAAAATGGAGATGGTAAGTCTTTAAAAGATATGTTTTTATAGGCGTAATAGTCTCAAATATTTATTGTGGTGAGTGGGCCTAAATATGGACCATGAAGATGTTGTATAAATGAGGACCGTCAACACGTTTAGTAATCTGGAGATATAATAAACTCTGCTCTGTATTTCACTTGCTGCCCTCTTCGTTAAGATTTTAGCACAGTAGTAGCTGGATACCCTTGCACAGTAAAAAGGAAACTGATGTGAGGTCTGAAAGGGCTGCACCAGTCCAAGCTTCGTAGGGTTGGAGGGGCTGCTGCTCACTATTGTGTCCAGGCAGATGTTTTCTAAAGTGCTACGTTGACTGCTACGGGAAGAGCTTTGGCAAAGTGAGAGAGAGAGAGAGAGAGATCTCCCACCTATAACAAATATACCTCCATTAGTATAATCATGTCTGAGTTAAGGTATCTAGTACGGTGGCTTTACACTATTACTGCACTAGTAAACATTGCTCTGTGCTGACGTTCTTTACTAGCTCGACCTAGCAAGTGACAAACACGGCATAGGCCCCTCCAGCAGCCTGCTTCAGGGGCAGAACAAGTGCCACTTGCAAGAGCACAAGAGGAGGGGAGAATGGGAGGTACTTAGGACCCTTTTTTCCTTTGTAACGCTGCACAGATCTTCGTCAGGACATGCTGACTCTGCAGATGATCCAGTTGATGGACATCCTGTGGAAGCAGGAGGGCCTGGACCTGAGGTGAGTAATGTGCACGCAGCTGTCCTACTGCAATGATAAATCACGTGTGGTGAGGCCATTTTGTCTGCAAGCTTATTTTGTCCCCGATGGGTCTGTCTAGTATTCTATGAGCAGCTAGTCAGGTTTTGTGGTACTGAGGAGTGGAAATACAGAGTAGGTATGGAGTAGATATGGAGTAGATACGGCAGACAAGGGAAAGGTTAAAAGTCAACGCAACCCAGTTCTGGGCAAGATTTCAGTGGAAGGGTTTCTTTCATCTCTGCAGGATGACCCCTTATGGCTGCCTCTCCACAGGAGACAAGACTGGACTGATAGAAGTAGTCATGCATTCAGACACCATTGCCAACATCCAGCTGAACAAGAGCAACATGGTGGCCACTGCAGCCTTCAACAAGGATGCACTGCTGAACTGGCTAAAATCCAAGAACCCGGGGTAAGTGGGCTTACCTTTTGCTCAGTGCTGCTTTACTGCTTCCTTCCATCTGGAGGCATTTCTTCTGCTTTACTCCATTTTTTTTCCTTCAGTTATGCATATTTCTAAGCTGTCCCACAAATATCTATGGCTGCTTCACTGCCTGGCACACTGGAAGGCATCATGTGGATCTGTATGGGTCTTGAGCAGAAATGGAGGCATCTGGGTTACTGTTTGCAAGCTTTTTTGATCTTTGATAGCTTAAGGTAGCACTGTCCACAGGCTGGATCCAAACCTTCATCTTCCCGTCGGTCCCGTTACTTTCTCCAGAGATAGACAGCGTGGCGGCAGCTGGAAAAGGGGCAGAAGGAGTAATGCCAAAACTGGGAGGTGAAAAAAGAAAGCAGCACAAAAGCTGTGTAGCTTGGGGTTTTATTAGATACAGACACAGACAGCAGCAATATATTGGCAGTGCTACTCTGATGTAGCGGGGCACCAAATTACAGGGAACCAACAGGAGTCATTCTAGGAGCCCACTTCGTCTTTTGGATCTGTGGAGATCTAGAAATGAGTTAATTTAGTTGAGACTAAACCATTTTCATTGAATTGTGGACACCATCTTATCTGGACCTCTCCAGTTACAGACAGTTGTTATTACAGCTAGTTTTTGTAAAACACGGATGGGAGTACTGCCTCTGGAGAGCGCTAAAGAAATTCAAACATGCGATTCCCTTACCTTCTCCTGCAGGTTTGTGTGGGGGAAGCCATAAAAACAACTTTCCCGGTGGTGAAGTACAGGTGTTCAAAGTAAAATTTTCTTTCAATGTTTTTCTTACCCTCTTTAGTGACGCGTTAGAACAAGCTATAGAGGAGTTCACTCTTTCTTGTGCTGGGTACTGCGTGGCAACATACGTGCTGGGGATAGGTGACCGGCACAGTGATAACATCATGATCCGGGAAACTGGACAGGTATGGGGATTCACTGCTGCTGTTGAATACTGGAAGAGGGGCATGAAAGCTACTTAGCAATGGACAGATACATCCCAGTGCAATCTTACGGCTAAGGAATGTACCTCACCTTCCAGCCGAGAGGCAGACTGGACAAATATTCTCAATAGCTTCTATCATTAAGAGGGTAAATACAGTTTTATAATTTGAATTACAATTCTGTAAGCATCACTGCCATCAGCTGCCGCTGTTAATACCCACTTTGAAATTACAGTGGAGCAATTCATACCTCTCAGACCTAAAATTGTCTGCAGATGCAAACTCAAGCACTGTACTTATCAGTCTGAAGACTTACTTGGCTTCAGCAGAGTCACAAATTGCTTGTAGTTGCTAGGTAAGATCCTCAGTTACTTACCCAAGCTGATATATTTGTAGTCTTCCTCCTGGAAAAAAAATGTTTGTTGTGTTGGTGTTGTTCCCCCCCCCAAATGAATGCAAGTGATCAGCATAGTTTTAATTTCACATTGATACCTGTACTGATTCCTTTACTCCTCTATTCCACAAGAATAGCTACCAGAGTTTGTATCTTATCTTCTCGTACACTGTTTGGAAGACAAAGGGCAAAACTAGGAAAAAGAAAATCCCTTTGCTAACAGGACATATACTGAACTACATCAGTAATATTTTGGTAAAGGGGGAAGTCTAAGCTATCTTTCTTACTTAATTGTGAATTCTACAAAGCCTAAAACAACTCTGTGCTAGTTCCTGCAGGTCCAGTGAAGTCAGCTAGTTAATATTTGAAAGTAAGAAATTGGCTGCTGATGTTTTGGGACTCGTAGCTCTCAGGTACGCGCAGCTGCCTGCCTGCACTGTTTCTGTGTAGCATCCCACTCCTCTACATCTTATTTCCCTAAATCAAGCAGTCGTGGTCAAAGACACCTCGTAGTGCCTTTGTGTCCTGGTTTCGGCTGGGATAGAATCAATTTTCTTCCTAGCAGCTGGTACAGCGTCAGAAACCAGGACACTTTGTTCTGGGGTCACAGCAGGGACAGAGACACGGTGTCATTTGTTAACGAGACACTGACCTCCCTCCCTGGGCTGTGACTTGCAGCAGCCCTTACCTAGGACTGCCTCTTCTCCCCATTTAAAAAAAAAAAAAGAAAAAAAAATGCTGGGCAGGGAGCTTACAAAACTGTTTCTGCAGAGCAGAGGCCACTCGGTTACTTGTCCACTTGAGGGAGCTGATGCCCTGCGGTATACAGCCTTGGGTTTTGCACATCCAGGGTTTACAGCGGTTCTGCAAAATTGCCATAGTGTGCAAGGTTCTGCACATGATCCTCCTTCCCATCGCTGCACTAGTGGTGCAACGACTTTGCTGTGCTTGGTATTTAAAAAAAAAAAGGGGGGGGGGGAAGCCTTACCTGAGCAAGTAATATTTTATAGCAACTTGAAAACAGGACATCTTTCTACGCACTGTCTGGGACTGCAGACTGCCCTGGTAGGGTGCCCATTTTAGTTCTCTTTCTGCTTCTACTAGTGACACACTAAGGCTTTACAAAAACCAGAAATTTCTTCAGATATACCAAGTATTGAAGAGGCAAGTACCTTTTCTGGCCTATCCAACGTCTAATTACGCTAGGGAGTATCTTGGCAAGTAAATATTGCCTCTTTTCCCAAAGGAGTGCCATGGGAGAGGTCATTTTTCTCCCTCCCAAAATCCTATGGTCAGTACCTTTTGAATACAGTAACTGTGAAGAGAACTCGACACTGATCAGCTAAAAATAGATACTATTCTGAAAACAATTTTTTTTCTTCCTTATTTTCAGCTGTTCCATATTGATTTTGGTCACTTTTTGGGGAACTTCAAGACTAAATTTGGTATTAATAGAGAACGAGTTCCTTTCATCTTAACCTACGACTTTGTGCATGTCATCCAGCAAGGAAAAACTAACAACAATGAGAAGTTTGAAAGGTAAGTGTCAGCAGTTAAACTTGACTTAAGCTTTTTGAGCTCTGAATTTTCAGAATGTATTTCCACCAAAGATATGAAAAGATTCTTCCACATGAAAGAAAATAAATCATTATCTACCTGTTAGAGAAGGTGAAAGAGCATGGTAGTCATCAACGCAGACAGCGGGGTTCAGACTCATATGTAGTCTTGCTGTATAAAATGGTGTAGCTTGCAGTCTTCATTCCTTTGCCTCATCTTCCTTTCTGAACAGGTTCAGGGGTTACTGTGAAAAAGCCTATATGATCCTGAGGCGCCATGGTCTTCTCTTCCTGCACTTGTTTGCACTGATGAAAGCTGCTGGCCTGCCAGAACTCAGCTGCTCTAAAGACATTCAGTATCTAAAGGTAAGAAAAGCAGAGCCCAGATACGCTTAAAACCAAATACCTGGTCGTGTAGCTCAGCGAGGAGGAGTTCAGTGTGGAAGGGCATATTATTTGAAGTAAATGATCTCCAAAAATCATGAGTGGATGTCCAACTTCCATGTGCAGGACGTCAGAAATGCCAGATACGGGTGCTCGGGAAATAACTTCACGTTCTTCAGCACAAAAGCAGTAGGTACCGTGTACAGCCGCTTGCAGGGAAGGAGACGGAGCTCTTCGGTTGCGTATCATTTTCTGTTCCCAGCTCGCCTCTTCAGTTATAACCACCTAGCCCAGGCCAACTGAAAGACGGTAGCTTTGTACAAGGGCACTAAAAACCCTACTGTTTCCCTGCTCCCAACGTAAGAGTAGGATGCATGTATTTGTCAGAATGAAAAAACCTTGTGCGACTACAGTAACTATTTAAAACAACTAACGGCTACTCGTTTCCTACTTGGTGGTCCTTTCAATGGAGTAGTTTCTTAGTGAGTAAACATCTTAGTAGTTGAGCAGTTAATTCTTCAGTTGTGCTTTCAGTGAGGCTACACAGATTTCTGCCTCTTACCTTCAGGATTCCCTAGCTCTTGGGAAAACAGATGAGGAGGCACTGAAGCACTTCAGACTGAAGTTTAATGAAGCCCTGCGAGAGAGCTGGAAAACCAAAGTGAACTGGCTGGCGCACAACGTATCCAAAGATAACAGACAGTAGAGCAACATCAGCCTGCACACTTGCTCCAAGAGAATGTAATACCCGCACTGAGTCCAGCGGTTGTAGACAGGTTTTTAAAGACTGATGACTGTTGCCGTGTTGAAGACCCTGCACCTGCATTCCGAGGTCAGACATTTCTGCATGACTGAAAAATTGTTGGACTGTCATCAGCCGCATAATCATGTCTGCTGTAGATCTTTGGGGGACAAGGGAGAGACGTGAGGCAATAAAATTACTGCATACAGTGAAAGGTAGGTAGATGTACTGTATCCTTAAGAACTTCTTAAGCTTCAAATACATCTTCTAATGGAAGAGTTCAGGCAGTTGTAACATCCTTCCAGCGTGTTAATGTGTCTATTTCTATTTTCTTGAAAATTTAGCTGAACACTGAGAACCTACTATCCCTGTAGCTCTTATACTATAGCCCATCTTCTAGGTCCCCACCATTACAGCTCAGAGATGGTAACTTCACCACGTGATTGCTCCTCCTACCCTGTTTCAGTGTACACCAAGGTAGGTCAGCTTAAATCACCACTGAAGCTGACGTGGACAAATTGTTTTACTCTGCATTGTGACAGGGTAAAAATATCCATGCTGTCATGTTACTTTCTCTCTGCTACAGACGCCAAAGTGTTCGGAAACTGAACTGGAACCCAGCTATTGCTGTCAAAAAAACTGGTGCCACAAGAACAGGCTTGGATTGGCCAATGGGTTAGGTATTTTTGTTTGCTTTCCTAAGTCAGACTTTAGTTGCGCCTCAAGCAATTCCAGGATTTCTGCGTTTATTCTGGTTTTAAGCCTGAAAACAGCAAGAACTGCATTTTCAAAATTGGCATGTAACAGTGGTTGCTACGTGTGCCTCCTGCTGGGGTGCATTAGAGCTCGTTTGCCACCTGGTTTCCCTGTAACACGCGCAGGCAGGGCACTGGCCTACACCTCCGCAATCACTGGGATGCAGCACTCTCGTTCCAGTGTCAGCTGGGACAGAAGGCACAGAATGGTGCCAAAGTTATTTGGCCAGTCTGCCTTCCTGTGCAAGGATAGAGGAGTGCCAGATGAGCGGGTTTAACACTGAAACACTTACGTGGAGTAAGTTGCATCTCAACTCTCATCTTCTTCCAAATGTATTCCCTGTTCCTTTCCACACTCTTCCTCCTCTCAACCGTGGTACGCGACTCCTTGTCTGTTGTTAGAGCTGGTGTGCAAAGACTGTGTGTCTGTATGGGGGTTCAGCCAAAGAGTAAGCTGCAGTCATCTGTGCCGGTACCTGAATCAGGACAAACTGTCTACTCCAGCCTCCTCCTGTTCTCACCGCTGCCTCCGTCTCCTTCCCAAGCAGAATCTGTCCCATCTCCCACAAGGTGCTGTAATCAATCACGTACTTCTACTCGTGTCATATTTTTGTCTCCAGCTAGTGTCCTCACCTGGTGAGCGGTTCTGAGCACTGGTGTTGCACAGGGACCGATGAACAGGAGCCGCTGCTACCGCTCAGTGCCTCACACGAGCATAGCGCGGTGCATCAAGCAGGCTGCAGCCTATGGGCTCATGCTGGAAGATAGGTGGAGTAGCGTGGTTAGTACCTGCGTCCTTTAGCGGTTCCCTGGGGTGATCCCGTTCATTTCCCTGTGTTCTCCACACCATCAGGTTCCTATGGAGGTGCTATCATTGCTGCCTTTTAAAGACTAGCATAGTCTAATTTTCAAGACACCCCTGAAGCTAACTCCTGTATTTAATTTGTATGCCTTTAACTAGGTTGAGCGATTTTCTTTTACTCACAGAACTGGTTTTTAAACCCTTACTTACTCTTATGTAGGTGAAAAAAATACAGGCATTTCAGATCCTGTTTCTCAGGTGACGAGAGATGCATATATTGCCAAATGATGGACTACTCTCTCATGTAAATTTAGCTTCCATGTCTGGTTTAAAATCCCCACAAAACCAGCAAGTTTAGGACAGTGACTGAACTGGCCTGTTTATTCCTAATAAATCTTCCCTGTCATGGGATAAATTTGATTTGATAGTGTTTTTGCATCCAGCACATAGGTACAACTCATCCCTGACTTTTGGCTCTTTTTAATACTTTAAAATCAGGTACCTCTGTACTTTAAAATTAAAAGAATGCTAACCCTATACTGGCTTGCTGTTTAAGTCCACTCTTTTTTTTTTTAAAGAGGACAGGTTCAAATATATTTGTTCTTCGCCAGCTGCACAGCTAAGTTAACACTGCCTTAAAAAAGTAACTTCTACCCTAACTAGAAATGACTAGTAGTAGGTAATACTAGGTTTGGTCAGTGAATGGACTATGAAGCACCTTTAATAACCCCCTTCCCTCATTACCTTTACATACAAACAGATGCTAGGAGATGATGATCTAGTGTTACGCTGTTGCTAATTTAAATTTTGATTTAAAGTACTGTTTCTTTTCATAAAAGATGTTATGCTATGAAGTCTGTTCTATACTGTTTTGTATATTTTAATATAAACCAGGTTGCCTCTCATAGAGCACCAGTTACTAGAAGAAGCAGTGATATAGAAGACAACTCATTTTAACTTTATATAACCCTTGGAGATCCCATTTTTCCACACCTTTCAAACGATACTGTACGTGACCGAGAAGTGGCCAGAATATTTGAAGCTAGAACAGCATGTACCCTTCCAAGTGATCCAGATATTACTTAGTAACACATTTCTCTGTAACAGTTCTTCAGCATATTGTTTAATAATAAGTAATACTGAAAGTATGTTTGCAGCAGGTAATTTTTTTTGCTGTACTTTCTCTGTTACAGACCCTCCTTAGCTAGAACTGAAAGCTAGCTTCCTATCTTCTCTAACTATGCATTTGACCATAACACTAGGAAAACAGCAGCAGATAAAAGTGTACAAACTGACCTGCAGGAAACAAACCACCATCTCGACTGGAGCCAGCACTCTAGGACTGGTGCTGCTTCTAGCGATTAGCCTAAAGAAACTTCCTGCTGTTGTCTTGGAGCATTGTCCTCGGTGAAAGATGAGCTCTCTGCAACGTGCTATAAATTACTGTCACGGATGTGGTTCTCCTCAGTCTAGAATACTACTCGCGGTTTTCTTGACCTGAACAGCAGATAGTGGTCTCGGGTTTCAAATTAGATCTTAAAACAGTGAATCCGTATTTGCAATTAGAAGTACAGTAGTATGGAACTGAACTGGTCAACAAATTACAAGAGTAAATCATCAGCCTTTTTTTTTTTTTAAGCTGTTTTAAGCATTACAATTCTCCTTTCCCGTGCCAGATTATATAGCCTCATGCTTCACAGGCTAGGAGGGTGCTGGGTGTCACAATTTAAATTGGGAGTAGGAGGATGGATGCTTGGATCTCTTACATCCAATTAAAAAAAATAGACTCCATTAAGGACTTGGACAAAGGCAAACATTTCCATGGGGTAGCAGACTACCACGTGTCAGCTGCTCTACAACTGACAGCAAGTCTGCGCTTGCTTTCACAGCAAGACGCTGCTGTGTACACCATCTGATGACGGTGTTGCTTACCTTATTTTTTTTCCCCCGGAAAAACAGCTCACGTGATGCTACTTCCCAGTTAATATGCAGGACTAACGCACACAATGCCCGGTAAGCACCTTGTGCATCAAACCTTCGTGTCACCTGCCCTCTAGGATGATGCATTTACAAGGTTCCACCGTTGTCCTCTAACGACTTGATGCCATCTTTTGTAATTCTTTGAGGTTTTTTCTAAGAGCCACATTGGTGGAGACCAAGCATTCTGCACCCAAGCTTAATGGGATATAGAGAAAACTTGCCACAATCATGGAATAAAGTAAGGTTGGCAGGGATCCTGCCGAAGTACTAAATAAGAAATGCAAAAAGGGGAACAGCAGCCCAACACGCAATCTTGTAACAGTTGTTTTGATATTAGAAGAAAATACTGCAGGATTTAGAGCTCTTTGCATGCTAATCAGTGAGAAAACAGTACTGCGCACATCTAACTCACTGCTCCCCCAGTCGGGAGAGGCAGACGTTTCTGACCTCCCCGTGTTTCCTCCCTTGGGGTGGCATGCCCAGACTCTGCTTGCTTGCAGAGTTCCCTGTGGCCACACAACTTTGCTCCATTTTAGAGAACAGATAAATATTGCTATTGCCTTCCTTATTAAACTAATTTACAGAGCAGAAAGTATGCAAAAATATCAGGCCATGTGCAAGCTGAGATGCACTTGAAACCACAACAACCTCATCAGTGGCTTGTACATTCTTGTGGAAGGGAAGAAACATACCACACACGTAAGCGTAAAAGCAGTTCTCTGACACGGCCACAAACTGATAATCCAGGATCCTGCCTGTCCTACTGCAGCGAGGCAGTCTCGCCTGGTAGTTTCCTTAGTCACTCTTAGGTACTTGGTTTGCAGGCTCGCAGCAGTTCATACCTTCGGCCGTTGCTTTGGTAGCGTTTCCAGAACACTCGGGCCCTAGTTTTCCAGAAGTACAAAGCAGCAGTGCTGACGTCATCTGTCCTTCAACTTTAGGAGTGCAATAAACCAAAATTGTATCAGCGTAAACTGCAAGAACTGAGCAATTCCAAAGGTGTTTCTCAATCCAGCACAGAGAGGTTACTTAGTCTAGAAAATTGACTTACCTACAAGAAGTAAAAATATCAGTGAGTCATCAAGCGGACCTTCTTCCTTGTACACCACTGGAATAGCATCTTGAATGAGAGGCTGACGGCTGTATCGGGTCAGCAAAGAGCCTTTGACTCCAAATCTACAAAGCAGCAGCTCGCCTGATAGTTTTCAGCAAGTTGAATTGTACTGAAGATTGAAACTTAAATCACTTTCAAAAATATTACATTTCACTATAAATAAGTACCTTCTGATTTTATAAATATGCTCAAAGTGATACCCCTTTCTACTTCTATTTATTTAGAGATGTTTCTGTGATTATTTTTTTTAACTCTGTATAAACTGATCGTGCTTATTCTGTTGCCTTTGAAAAAAGAAGTATTTTTTTAAGCCAAACCATGGTTCTGCAAGAAGAGAATGTTTACATGTTTAACTTTTCAGTTGCTTTAGGTACATGTTTTGTAAGTCAAAAAATAAAAGATTGATAAATTGTACACAACGCGGCCGAAGTCTTTTCTATGCTTGAGAGATCAACGAAAACAAAACTCTTCTACTGCCACCAGCAGAGGCAATTAACACACAGTTAATGTAACTTGGTTCAACCTTGTTCCATTCAGTAAGAAATAAATGCAAACAACCTTTAGAACCAGAAATTTATTGTAGCTTATAGACTTTCCAAACTGACCTGTTACCAATATACACATCTGAAAAGTTATACCCACAGTGGCTACAAACTGCATCAGGATGTTTACAACCTTTCAGTATTACCATTATTAAGTCATGATCAGTTTTGGTCTAAAATACAGCAGCTACAGCAACAGTATATGGAAGGATAAGTCTTCTACACATTAACACAGGACAACTGTCAGACATAAGTTAAAAGTTTCCCAGTTTACTTAAAACTAGCAGTTATATTACCACGTAAGTAGTCAAAACCATTTCCCCATTTTAGAAATCTAAAATTTTACATTTAAAAAAAAAAAAAAAACCAACCCCAAAAAACGGTAAGCTAGTTTTGTGGGTTCTCTTCCCTGCTTCCAGGTCCATCTACTATTGTAAAAGGCACTCCACAGTCAAGCGTTACCCCAGATAAAACCCACCATTAGATCCCATTACACACGTCACTAGGTGAGAATAGGTCTGCTCGGAAAATCAAAACTATAGCAACTTTTGGATCAATCTTTAGCTTGTAACTCTTTGAATTGTGACCCTTCGTGCCCCACCCTTTGGGGCTTGCTTGTTGCTCCTCCAGCACGCTTACCCGGAGCAACATTTCCCTGCTGTGTACCATCAGCCACTAACCAGCCTGCTAGGACACGCGTGGTCTGCGCACCTGGAACACAGGCAGACTGCATACAAGATCAAAACCGGGAACTTTGCTTACCGTGCTGAGGAGTGAAGGGAGTCCTAGTCTCCTGTTACAAGCAAAACAAGTTACTCTTTTTAATCCACCCCCAAAGGTAAAAATCAAGTAGAGCAGACATTCATTATTCAAGGCTCTGCGTAAGACCAAATGAAGTTAAATAAACAAGACCCGCCTTACCAAAAACCCAGCACTCTCCACCACGGGGTCATAACTTGCTTTTCGTACCTTTCAGCTATTTCTTCAGAAAAGTCCTTTGCAATTCCAAGTGAGAACTTTGATCAGAAACAACCAAAAATCATCTGGACTTGGAATAATATTAACGTGATTCCCAAGGTTTTCTGGTTGGATAATTTATGCTATAGCTGTCACCAGCAGGAAAGCACACTTACTAAGTGTAAACAAAGGCTTAATACACCAACGGTCCAAGTTACTGTACAAGGGGCTACAGGGAATGAGCAGGAGTGTGTTTAATAGAAATGAGACCAGCTATGCCCTAAACCCTCCCACTACCACATTAGAAAAACTGAACAGCCAAAAAAACCCAAAATACCTAGCCACGTAGACTGGTAGCCAAGGTGCACAGGTACACAGGTCTCAGGCTTTCCAGCTTCAGTTACCAGTGTAACAAATCAATCAACTAAATGAATAATCCGCCCTGTCGGCAGCGTGAGCAGACCACCGCTGTACCACAGGCAGCCTCGCTGTAATTAACAGGAGCTGTGGCAACACACCACAGCAGCAGCACACCGATTTGCCCACCATCCAAGTAGTGTTTTTTCCCAATAACTTACAAGCTCTTATGCCAAGACTTAATTGGAGGGGGGGGGGAAGGAAAAAAAAAAAAAAAGAAAAACCCCAAACAAACAACTGTATTGCACAGGGCAGCTGAACTTCTGCAGAGGTTCCTAAAGCCTTTAGCATTTCTCACAAGCTTGTCCGTTCCCTCTGCAAAAATAAAGGAGATGAAAGAAAAGGAAAGAAAAATTAAAGAAAAAACAGAGCGGGGCATGAGCGAACATGGCAGTCAAGGCCAATGACACTGTATTACTGAAACATCTACACTAGATAACTGTGCCCGTGCTCCTGCTGCAGTAGTATGAGACTTGTAGTATTTCATGCTTCATGATTTTTTACTTTAGC